GGCCCATCGGGCAGTATACGTCTCATTTCGAATGGCCACTTCAACCAACCATCCTTTCCTTGTAAGCCTGACTTTTCACTCTGTATGATCTCCATCGAGCGTTTTCAGGATGAAAATAATGAGCCCGGACGTCGTCGTGAACGTGCCCTGTCGATGGACATGCAAATCGCTCCAACGCTCATTCACAAAAAGAAACTTCTGGCTAGAAAGAAGCTGAGCGTAAGTGGACACATGGTCATTATGTATTTTCCACAGTGCACTGCGGGAGACGGACAAGACAATCGTAAGTTGCCGCGTTGCCGCGCTCGGCGTACCGTGCGGCGATGCGCGGCAAATGCGCGGCGTCGCTTGCCACGAACCCAGCATATTACGATTGTCTTGTCACATACCCGTGCACAACCCTTTTGTTTTGTGTGGTTTCTACTAGAGCAGGTTTTTAGCGTGACAGTCACACGGACGTACGACTCGAAGTGCCCAAGGTGGTGCAAATAACCGTAACTGTAGATAAAAGTAGTGGTGTTTGTAGTATTTGTTAAGTAAATTCTGGTATGCGTGTGCAGTGCACAAACGTGGCGGTCCACTTCACTGACCTGTAGTAAAGCATGACGTGTTGTGATGTATTGGCCCTGCATGCTAACGTGTTCTTCAGGTTGCACAACGCAAACGTAGGTCGTCGAAGAATCCTCGACCACAGGATATCGCTGGTTTTGAGGACGAGGAAGATCTGCAGGATGCTAATGAAGATATCGAGGAGGATGAGACGAAGTCTGACAATGACGAAGAGCTGTTGTCAGATGACGAGGTCTGATTTCATCGATTAGGACGAGTTTGAGATTCCTGGCACTGACTCTTGGCAGCGGGTGTATGGTGAACGAGAATTCAAGAGCCATAATACAGGATCGGTTCTTTATACAGTCATTATCCCTGCAAGCGGTAGGGCGTGTGAAGGTGTGTCAATTCGAGCACAGTCAGGAAGGTCTTTGCCCCTACCGTCGCTTGCTCAGAATGACATCATTGGTGGAACCCGGCCCTGGTTGCGGTCGAGTCCACGCCGCCGCACGCGCCTCTTGTTTGCAGGGATGACTATGAAGTGGGCAGCATTTGTAAGTAGAAATATCAATGTTATGGTTAGGACTCCCAGGGGAGGTCAGATAGCCTTGGTGGAATTCGCCGCGCGTAACGATAATTGTAATATTGTCAAGACTGCTGTACAGTTTTATTCGCTGCGGATGGTGGGGTGTGTCAGTGAAGCTTTGGCGCGCCGGCACCCCGTTCCTTTCCAGTTGTTGAAGCGGGTAAGCGACAACAACTGGTGGAAAAACGACTGACACCAGTGATGTGATACAATTTTCTCGCCCGTCGAAAGAAAAAAGAAACGGGCTGGGGCCCACGCCAAGCTCAACCCTCTTCGCAGGCCCCATCATTCGCTTCGAATAAGACTGTAAATGTAATTATATTGAGAGGGTTTCTGCAGCGTTGTGGTTCCTCATAAAGTTTCCAACATTTAAATGAAAGCTCAGAAACTTTCAGTAAATCCGTTAAAATGGAGTAATTAAGCAACACGATACGCGATATGCACGCCATGCATTGCGAACGTGTTGGCACACTGCGGAAGTCGGGCTGCAAAACGATGGCTCCCCTCCAAACGTTAGAGAGCGCAGACAACTTGCGTGTGCGCAACGGTGTATGGCTAGCTGTGTGGCGTGTTGCGTGTCTGATGCGTACGTGTCGCGTATAGAGTCGTGGGTGGAGACATAAAGAATACCTGGGTATCACAATTCTACCATTTCACTTCCGCTTACTTTTTCGTGGCAATAGTGGTGTTTTTTTACACCAACGGACGTGTGTAATCACTACTTGGGGAGGGATTGCTTTGCAAGTAGTCGTTGTGTCTTT